ACCACGAAAATGTAGCACGTGTATGTACCTAGCATTGACCTACTGAGCCATGTGAGCTTACCCCCTCGTTGATTCCCCTTTCAGGTTAAAACACACTCTTGAAGACGCTGCCTTGTTTTTAATTTTTGGTGTTAGACATTAATGTATATTGGGAATAAGTATATATTCTTTCCCATTCCATTCCATTCCATTTTATACTTGTTATGGATTATGTATTTGACTTGAGAAACATACTTGAGATGATGTAAATTCGACTATAATATATGATTGGATTTGGTTCTCAAAGACATGGATTTAACTTATGGAACCACGAAAATATAGCACGTGTATGTACCTAGCATTGACCTATTGAGCTATGTGAGCTCAACCCCTCATTGATTCCCCTTTTAGGTTAAAACACGCTCTTGAAGACGCTGCCTTGTTTTTAATTTTTGGTGTTAGACATTAATGTATATTGGGAATAAGTATATATTCTTTCCCATTCGATTCCATTTTGTACTTGTTATGGATTTTGTATTTGACCTGAGAAGCATACTTGAGATGATGTAAATTCGATTACAATGTATAATTGTATTTGGTTCTCGAAGAAATGTAAACTTCAGGCTTTAAGGCCATTTTTCGTTAAATTTATGGATTTATCTTCAAGTCCACACTTATGTATACTTCACACACTTCTTGGATTCATGGATGTCCTTGCCATGTTTAGATATCTTAGGTTGGACATATTTTTCATGCTTGAACATTTGGGCATGTTTGGGATTAGTTTGGATCTAGTCGTAGCTTGGACTACATGATTTGCCATGTTTTGGCTATACTTAGCATATTTTTTTACCATTTGGACATTATTGGGACTTATGCACTTGATATAGGTTGTTTGTGTGGCCATGACACCTTGGGATGACCTCTTTTTCAGCTCTCAGGATGTTTCGGTCGGCTGGTGATAAAAGCCAGCTGGCTGACAAGCCATTTTTGGCTCAGGCAGAGAGTTCATTGGCTGGAAGCACGTTTTAGCCGGTTGACAAAGGCTGTCAGTTGACTGATGGTGCAGTTTCGGCTGGCTGACCATGACCATCAGCTGGCTGACCCTTCCTGGAACCCACCCTTTTTAGTTTTTGGGACAGTTTTGTTGCATAAATTATGATCTGCCACATCTCATTCATTTCTAATCCAAATTAGGTCATTATTGAGTCCATTTTTAAGGTCTTAAAGTCGAATTTCCAATGGTATCAATCCGATTTTCAGATTCCATTCCTACTAAGAGATATTTTCATTATAGTGGGACAGTGTCGGGAAATCACTTGACCGGAAGGGGGTATTTTTTGAAAATCATAACTAAAGGCCTTAAAACCTCTTGGGATGTTATGAATTGATTAAATTGGACTGAGTTCACTTCATTTGACTTGTTTTGAGTCAAATTTCTCCACCATTGGATAAAATGACCATTTTAGTCATAGTTCCATATTTTGTCCGTTTTGACCTTAGTTTCTTTATTCATCTTGTACTTGAGTCTCGTGAGTTCTTAGGAAGTCACTTTATTTTCTTAGAGGTAGTGTCTATCTTTAGAGACCTTTTTTATTTTCTTGCTTCTGCGTTTCAGACTCGATATCGGGTTAGGTTTTAGGTTACTCGTTAATGTACTGGGTTATTGAAATTTGGGCTGTTACAATCTTATTTTGAGATCTACTAGAATGGAGAATCATGAGTAGTAAGAGAAATAAAAAGTCTTGACAATTGCAAGAGCACTAGTTTTTATCCAGAAGAAAGAAAAGTTCGATTTGGTGATACGAAAGTAGATTTCAAGTTTAATTATTTGAACTTGGAATTTTCTAGGAATTCATGAGTGTGGTGGTACGGCGAAGAACGACAATAAGGAAGAAGATGTTAGATTCAAGGTGGAGGGTTTTTCAGTTGAGGTGGAACTATGGAGAAGCACGTGAAGACATAATTTTGAGCCAAGGTAAAGATTGTTAGAGTTATGGCTCAAATTTAGGTAGAGAATTATATTTTGGAAGAGCGCAACCGGTTGCAATTTAGAGGAATCGGTTGCGGTTGGACATAATAGTCGGAACAGTAACCCAAAGATGCGAAACTGGTTGCGCTTTAGTGGAACTGGTTGTGCATTTGTGCGTGAATTGGTTTCTTATTCTAAATTGGGTAGTTGTTGTTATGCCCCGAATCCGAGTGATCCAATGCATGAACCTATGACCCAAATCCCTAACCCGAAACCCGAGTCTAACACGCGGAAGCAAATAAAGTAATAAATAATAATAATAATAATAATAATAATAAAATAAAATAAAATAAATAAATATCACCCAAGATAAATAAACACCTCAAAGCCATCAAAGGAATCCTAAAAATAAATCAATTGGACTCTTGATCTCACTCAAGTCCCATTAGTCATCAAAAGTATTCTACAATGCTATGGTTACAAGAGGAATAGCCACATAACGTGGACATGTACACAAACACGTGTGGTTTAAGATGGGTAAAGTAACCCAAAATGCGTAAACTAACATATCGCAACCGGTTTCGCTTGGGTAGTAGCACAAATGCGAAAACATAATAAGAAAATAATGAGCAAGCGTATTACCAAAATGCAAACAAAATAATGTGAAACCGGTTGCCAAAAATGAGATTCCCAAATGGATTGATTTTATTATTATTATTTTTTTCTAAACATTAAAATTATGAACTCTGTTAATCATGCATGGCCTATCTAAAGTGTCCGAATAATGAGTCTAAGTAACTCATGGTGTCTAAGCATATCTCGGACCATTTGTGAACCAAAAATGCATGTGTAACATGAATCATGTGCAACAATAAAAAAGAAAAAGAAAAAGTGAAATACATACATTAAAATAAAAATGGCCTTATGGCCACAATACATCATTTGTTCATGTATCAATGCAATAAGGGTAGAGTATAAATTACTCAGGAACTCCAAAAGAAGGAGGTAAGTTCGCGAGCCATTTCTCTCTTAAAATAGGCATCTCAAACATGAAATGTATCAATTTTAAACAATATGACATCATCATAAAACTAGGTCATTAATGCAAATATATGAAAAATCACTCTCAACTTCCTTAATGCATGCACCACACATGATATATTCATAAAACTTAAAGAAAACATAGTTTATGATCATACTACACCCCTACCTCAAGTTAGGAATAAACCCTAGCTATTCCAAGAAGAAATGTGCTTCAAATTTGAAATTAATAGATGGGTTTTGTAGCCCATGGTATCCTCGTCCTCTTTAGCTTCTATGGCAAGATGAAATACTCAATGGAACTAGGTGTAATGGAAGCTTGAAGGTGGAAGGAGCTTGAAGATGACAATGGAGAAGAGAAAAAGAAAGGGTCTTCTTCTCTGTACACACACACACACACATACACAAGCTTCATCCTCCACCACTCATATAGTCAAAGTGGGTCCCACCTACTCCCAAAATCACACTAATGGCCCAATGAAATAAATAAACACCAGGGCCCACAAGATCCAAAAATGACAAATGCAATAAAATAAATATGAAAAATAAATAAAAAGGACTCGGTCCTCACATTGTTCATCAAGATTGATATGAAAATTCCTTGGTAGAAAAATTGTAAACCCTTGTCCAATAAGAAATTGGTGTGAAAACTCTATAAATAGAGATGAGTGTGAGAGATTAGTAGAGAGAGAAGGAGAGAAATAATTATAGAGAGAGAAAAAATGAGTTGACTTTGTGAGAAGAGAAAGAGTTTGTAATTAAGATTTGAAGTAAAGATAGTTGTTTTACGACTATAGACATAGGGAATTTGCCAAACTACATAAATCTCGTTTTACTTGTGAGTGAGCTTTTATTTTTTCTATTTGGCAATTGTGTTTGGGAAATCCTAACACACTTTGCCCTATGGAAAGTAGAGAACACTTTGACCTTCTGGTTTCGAAGGCCAATGAAATAACCTTTGGTTGTGAACTGAAATTATAAAACGCATACAAATTTGGAATGTTTATTGAGTTTTGAGTAAGAATATGAAAAGTCACGAGTTCTCCTCGTTGATTGTGGATCGAGAAATTTATTACAAGATTAATTTTATTTTTTACAAATTTTAAGATCGGTCATAATCTAGTAATTAATAAGGAGAACTCATTAGTCTTGTCATAGAGGATTTATTAATGGCCTTAGTGTCACAACTTTAAAAATTACATATATATGCAAAATTAGGGATGACAATAATTATTGAAAAAAAAAATAGAGATGACAATTTGTATTTCCGTGTCATATTTGGCTATCTTGTTACCAAACACGACACGATTATTATTCGTGTCAAGGAGAAATTTTGACATAACATTTTTTTAATTAAAAATCCATAGTCTAATTGAGTTACAAGTAAATTGGCAGGTCAAACATTGTTATGCCATGTTTAATTAGCAATTTAGCATGCAAATTTGGATTGTCATTATAACTTCAAAAATAATTAAGTCAAATACAAAGTATAATTTACAAGTTTGTAATGGTATTTATTTATTATCCTGACACTATTATTATTTAATTACTCTCTAATCTCCACATACAAGGTCCTGTTTATATATTTATCTTGTGCACAAGTCATGATGCATAACTATATTACAATGTAACACAATTACGTTACAAAATATAATATCTATATAACAATTTTAAATAACTTATAAACACATTTATATTTATATAAAAAATACAATACCCATAGAATATATTACATTATATTGGAACCAAATTTTAATACATTTATCTAGTTGTTGCATTCCCCTTACAAAATTGTTGTATTAGGCACGTGACAAGATAACGGGGAGCAAATCTTGGTTCTATGAGACAAACACGCATGATGTAATAGTAATTTCGTCATTTAGCATTAGTCAAATTTGTCTCCTTAGATTCTAGATTTCAATTTGAAAATAATTACTCCATATAATATCTCCAACTTCCTTTTGTTTTATATTATAATATTACTACAAAATATAATATGATATTTTTTGGTCGTGAGTGTAGAGTAGAGATTAGAGAGTATGGACTATGTGCAGAGCTGAGAGAGAGAGAGAGAGAGAGACTAGAGATTAGAGTGTGCAGGAGTTGAGCGAGAGAGAACAAGGCGAGCTTTGCTCTGCTCTGCTCAGCTCAACCATGGCATCACCATCGCCATGGAGATGGCCATGGAAGGCATCGAGCGACTCCGCGATCAAAATTTCAACTTCATCTTCTTCTTTCATTTCCTCAACCGTCTTTCCTAACCTAATAATTCACAGAAAGCGAACTCGTCTCGTTACTAACTCCTTAGATTCTTCTTCTTCTTCGTCATCATCGTCTTCTTCTGCTAATCCTATTAATTCCAGGAAAAAATTGAGAAAATCTGTTAACCCAATTTCATTTCCAGATGAGCCAAAGCACGAGACCTTTTCGAATCGAAATTATACCCAAAAGAGGCGAAATTTAAGTTTCAAGTCGTTGTTCGGACGGAGATCTTTGTGGCGTAGGATCTTATTCGCGTCGACGAAAGTCAGGAGCATCATTTTGCTCAATGTCATAACTCTTATTTATGGTGAGTTTCTCGTTCCTCTTCTTCACACACGCACACACATGTATACAACACAGACACTCATATATTCATACATATACATTTTTGTTATATAATTAATAGAAGTCAAGAATTTATGATTTTTCTTTGTCATGGTCAATTCGATTCCTTTAGGTCTGATTTGTAACAATTTTGGGAAATGTAGGAGATAAAAATCCAAAATGGACTTTGTGCATAAAATGATTTATCACATACGGTATTGACATTTTGGTAGGAGTTTCACGGATGAACTTGTTATCTTACCTTATTTTTTAAAATGGTGGTTACAAATTTCAAATATCAATTGATGGACTTTGTGGCATTATGAATTTTGCTTAGTTCAATTACTGAGCTTTCAAGAATATAAAGATGCTCCTTTGACTAGTATGGGATATTTAGGGGTAAGGCACAAAGTTAAATGTGTGAGGTCCTCATGGTGTGAGATACTGGAAGGGCACAGTAATAGGATGGGAGGAATTCTAAATGAATTTTTTCTTCTCACCGGGGAGGTGGCAAAGGGTGAGCGTTTGGCATTATTGTAATGGTGAAGGGAGAATGCTTTCAAAGTGGCTTCCAAAATATTTTCCAAATTGAAATTAGAATGGATGCGTCTTTTTGCAAGTGAATGTATATACATGGACTTTAGAGGTGCTTTGGTTTTTTTTTTAGTTCACCAGAGCTATGCAGGATTAGAGATGGAGATGGTGGATACTTTGTTTGAATTGTTGATGTCATAGGCAATATGGACTACGCCTTGGGATTTAAGGCTGTCAGTAGTGGCAGATTTCATTTGAATACTTTATATGACTTTCATGGTTAGGGATGGGGGAGTAGGACGCTACCTATTGTCCTTGTAAGAGCTATCTGGGGTGCAGAATTTGATCCCTTTTAAGTTTTTGGGTCAACTTTCAAAAATTTTGTGGTTGGTTTCTAATTATGATGTGAAAATGACTTTGACCATTTGTATTTTTCACTGAGTTATCTGTGGTTGAGCGTAATTTAGGATCACGGGTCATGCTAGGCTATGATAGATGGACTCTTCAAAACTAGGTGAAGTACCAGTGTCGGAGACACAATACTTGGACATTAAGGATACGTGTGCAACACTTTTGGTTGGATATATACCTAAAAAAACATATCAAATCGATTCAATTTTACTATATTATTGTTTCAGAATGAGTGAAATTCATATATCAAATGCAATATAACATAAATAAATTATTTAACTCTATAAAATAAAGTAAAAATATTGGAAAATAAAAATATATAGCAATGTCCATGTATCTTATGTTTGGAAATTTAATATGGTTGACGCTAGAACAAACCCGCACCCAGAACATGTACCAAAGTCCAGGTAACATTGATGCTATGACTGTTTGGAGTTTTTGTGTCTTAGGCAGGATGGAGGGTTTTCAGAAGCATTAGAAACTAGGGAATACTTAGTTTGTAAAATCTTTGGCTTTGGGGAGATTTCCCTTATTTATTTATTTTTATTCTTTTTCTTGGAGATATGATTTAGGTACATTTTGACTGTTAGTGGGCGGAGTTCTTGAATACCTGTGTGCGCTTTGGTTGCACCCTGCTTGGCACTCTTTAGTGATAGCTTTACTTAAAAATTATTTCATTTTGTAGGTGTGAAGAGTTTGATCATAGTTATATTCATAAACAACTTGACAAAATGCTGTGTAAATAATTTATCTTGCTGAATAGAAAATCAGAGGCTGGACAATCATTTGGCATTATAATTTAAATCCTCCTTAAGTTGATGTTGATAAGCCAAAGTCATATGGTTAGACTAGAATGTGCAAATCTAGAAGAATTGATTTTGGTGATGGTACTCATTTACGTGAAAAAGAGTACGTGATAAGGTCTCCACGAAAGTAATATGTTGTTTTCTAAAAGATAATTGGTGTTATATAAATATGCTAATTTAATTCAGAAAGGAAACAGTAAATAGCATGATAACAACTGGAGCAGGACATTTGCATTGAGCCATTGAGTTTGGACATTGATGAACTTATTAGTTTTGCATACTGGGGTGGGGTGATGCTATGCTTCTACCTCCCCATGGTTGATGAACTTATTAGTTTTTCATATTTTGCATCATAAAGGAACACATTTATTAATTGGGCAGGAACAGTGCGTATATGACTATATAATTTTTTTGGTCATTCTATGTTGTAGCTAGTAATATTCCAGTTGTGAAAGAGGTTGAAGCAATTATGGACCCGGCAGCCTTCACTGTTGTTCGATTCGCTACCTCAGCAATTCCATTTCTCCCTTTTGTTTTACGAGCAAGGGGTGATGTTCAGACCCGTAATGCTGGAATAGAGTTGGGAGTCTGGGTCAGTTTAGGCTACCTTATGCAGGCACTTGGACTGCTTACTTCTGATGCCGGGCGTGCATCCTTTATTTCTATGTTCACCGTAAGAGAACTCTGAGATTCATTGGTATTCATGATTAATAATTAATTGAACGTATCTTGCTCCATGAAAGTGCTTAAAGGTACAATTTTGGCCAATTTTGGGTGAATTGATCAGGTAATTGTGGTTCCTTTGCTTGATGGTATGTTAGGAGCTGTGGTTCCTGCCCGCACTTGGTTTGGAGCTCTCATGTCTATCGTAGGAGTTTCAATGCTGGAAACCAGCGGATCACCTCCAAGTGTGAGTATTGTGTTGATCTTTACTAGTTGTTCTCCATGCATGCAATGTTTATAGGAGATGAAGAAGAAGAAAAGTATTAGTACAAGATTCTTCTAATGAAGATTGCCACTTGATTAAGCAGTTGTGCAATCGTATATATATTAACCAGTTTCTACTAATCTATTTCAGGTTGGAGATCTGTTAAACTTTTTGAGTGCGGTGTTTTTTGGGGTCCATATGCTGCGAACTGAACATATTTCAAGAAGTACTAATAAGGATAACTTCTTACCGCTCCTTGGATATGAGGTTAGTTTATAGATCATGAGTGACAGAGTGAGCTGTGTTATAACTCACTTTTAGGTTAAACTGCACCTCCAGCTTAACAATTTCATGCATGGTTTGAACTTCTGTTCCATTCAGGTATGTGTTATAGCTCTCTTTTCAACTATGTGGTATCTCATTGGAGGCGGGTTTGATGGCATTCAAGAACTCAATCCATCATCTTGGACATGGACAACTTTTTGGGATTGGATGGTAGCATTTCCATGGATACCTGCACTTTACACTGGAATATTTTCGACAGGGATATGCTTATGGATAGAGGTACCATTTTCTTTGTTTACTTTAAACTTTTAAAGCTGGAGTTGAGGAATTTTTTTATTTTTTATTTGGTTGCTTCCTCATTTTCTTCTTGTTCTTTAAAGATTAATATAGGACTCTAACCGGTTAACCTCTTCAGAATCCTTTGTGCAGCCATTTGGGTTGGCTACATGAACTCCAGCTCTCAAGGACTTCTTTTTTATTTTTGTGTTAAGAATTAGTCATCTAATCTTTTCACTTTGTTTCTTTTCACGTTCTTTGAAATTTTCTCTCTTTTATGTGCCTTGACATTAAGCTGTATTACTCTTCACATATGAAATATGGACATTTTCTACATGGTCAAAATACTTCCATGAACTTCTTATTACTTCCTACGGATGTACTTATTTCAATTCTGTTCCTGTTTTATGATTTGCTTAGATGCCTTTCTTGGTAGTTGCATTGAATTTTCCTCCAATTGTTAGTCAATGCCAATTTCATAACGGTCTAAATGGATCTCTCTGATCATCCAATCTGCTCTAGTTTTGGCCAACTTCCTTCTCAGTAGTCAGTACCCTCCATTGGCAGCAGTCCAGAAGTACCTGTCCAATTTATCCATCCTGCTCCAGTTTTGGCTGACTATATGTCTCCCTCTTTTTCGATGATAACACTCAAAGAGCAAACTTCTCATACGCTCTTTTTGCCTAGTTTTGGGCTATGCTTTTGGATCTCTCCCTCTTTGTGATGTTCTTACCAAGAGCATGAAAGTGGTTGCAATTGTCAATATATATATACACACACAAAGATAATAAAATCCACCCCACCTCACACACCAAAAAAAGGCAAAAAAAAAGAAAATACAAATAAAAATATTACAGAAGTGGTTGCTCTTGGTGTCAGCAGCTCCCTTTCCTTACCACTCTCCAGTTTGTGCTGGGAGGTAATAACTTGAGAGTACGTTTAACAAAACTGGAAAAGAGATAGTAATGATGGTCATTATTTAATATATATATATATTCTTAGTTTGGTACTCACACACACATGCCTCCACTGAGGCTTGAACCCCTGACTTCCCTTTGGAAAGTAGGGGCCTGATACAGCTAGGCCACTGGCTTGTTGGTGTAATTATTTAATATAGTTTTTGTTGTTTTCTCCTTTTTGCTAAATAATATTCCCTTGTTTTATCCGTAGAAGTATAAATAAAGAGAAACAAATGAATATAGAAACAGTTTTGCTGCCTTTGCATCCAATTGTATTGAGCTGCCTGTTTGGATAACTTATATTCGGGGAAAATTGTTTTTCAAGCAATGGTTTCTGAGTTGACTTTGATTATTGTAAAGATGGCAGCCATGCGTGATGTGTCAGCCACAGAAACTGCAATAATTTATGGGTTGGAGCCAGTATGGGGTGCTGGTTTTGCATGGTTTCTCCTTGGCGAAAGGTGGGGAGTCACTGGATGGATTGGGGCGGCTCTTGTTCTAGGTAAGATAACTTATGAACTCTAGTTTCGACGCATATATTGGTCTGTTATAATTTTGGATTACCATACTTGATCCCACCAGAAAGGCTGAAGATATTTTCTTAGAACCACTTGGAATAATGTGTCGAAATCCTGCTTTTTATACAAAAGTTAATGTACATTTGAAAATTTATCAGGTTCTTAGTTGCTATTGGAAAAGAAGTAACATACTTTACACTAACATTTTATATATATATATATATATATATATATGCATCTTTTTTGTCTACAAAGATAGATATTTTATTACCTTGAACTAGGAAATGGTATGTCGTCATACAGTTGTGTGATCTAAACAACACAATTTTTCAACTTCTCTCATTGTATTCGGTTATGACACTGCCGGATGATTATCTTCTTGACAGATGATGCTAATCATCTTTAATGTCTCTGCTTACATGTAGTGCATGTTTGGTACTTCTCCTTGCAGGTGGAAGTCTGACGGTGCAAATATTTGGATCATCATCTCCCAGTGTATCAGGAGACGGTGAAGATAATAAGGGTGATCACTTACTGGTTTCAGATGAGCAAAATGGTTTCTCTGCCTCTCCAATTGTCGTGAGCTCCCGGAAGGATGAACCTGACTTATTAAAGAAGTGAGCAATATCCCTGAGAAATTTTTTCTTTAATTAGATTTTGTAGTATCAAAATTACAGGATATGATCCTTTTACTTCTGCAAATATGTAATCCTCTACTAGGTTTTAGTTAGTCCATGCACAAAAAGCGATTGGAGGCGTACTGGCCTTCCACTTTTACATGTATACATATACAGAGATACACGATTACACATCTAGGAAATCAAAATATGATGTTTAATATTTTTCTCTCCACAAAGGTTTCATATGTGATATGTGGCTTCAATGAGAAAGAGGATGGTTGGTTGTGCCTTCATTGTATTATAAACACTAATGTACAATTGGTACACGGGATACAGACAATTAAATTAACACAAATAATACACCACACCAATCCAAAAATCCGTCAACCACAGGGACATTGTATCATATATTTAACTACTATCAATTTTTTTAATATTAATTTTTACATTTTAAGAATAATGGGAAGTATTTTAATTATATCACTATATGCTAATGAAAATCTTTTTATTTTTTTCCCCTTTTTTTAAGGTTTACAAAAAAAAAAAAAAAAAAAAAAAAAAAAAAAAAAAAAAATCTTTATATGTATATTAATATTGGTAATTGCAACTTCATGCTTTTGGTGATTATAACGATATTTTTGTTTCATGTCTTAAAGCAAAGTTAAATTCAAGAATTTACGTTTTTCATATTAAACAAGTTAAATAGATTCATGTTTAAAATGATTTTAATTAGAGAGACTATACTTAAATAAAAAAAATCTTATAATGAAATCATAGTTAGGGACCAACTTAGGAAATTTGGGGGGGCCCAAAGTCCGTGCCTGCCCATAGTACCCAAAAAAAAAAAAAAAAAAGGGTCACTTCGAAAAAAAATATTAAGAATTGATGCACTATTGTAGAAATTATTAGAAGGAAAACTTGACGGACCAATAAATCTAGATAAATTATTTTAGACAAATGACATGTGAAAAATATGTGTACGGATATATAAAAAAAGTAAAGGGAGAAAATTCTAAAAAATTGTAACAGAATAATCTAAAGAAACTAAAAGGTTTGAGTGGCCTATAAATACGTTAGCTTGCTAAGTCTTCAAATATGGAAAACTCTTTTACTCGGAGCAATTTTACCATGAGTCCAAATTTGTAGGATAGAACCTATACTTTCACTCAAACCTATCAACCAGGGTAAATTTTAGAATGGGAGTCTACAAAATAGAGGTACCTTTTATTTCTTTTTACACGTTAACTATTTAAATTCAGCCTTCGTAGGGCTTGACGCTTCAATTAATTTTGTATACTGAAATTTAAAATATGTGATATTTGATTTGTCAAATTATATTTTCAAATAAATATTAATAAAGGTGATTTCTAGTAAGTGTATCAATAAGTTAGCAGAATCTCTATCTCTACCTTACCTTTAATCAGTTGTTGAAAAGCATAAGAAACAATAGCAAATAATAATCCTTAATAAATTGCCCATTTGCATGATAAAAAAACAAAATGAATACAATCAAATCAAAACGTTTATAATATGTATAACAACAAAACCCCACATTAAAGCAATAGCAAATAATTATCCTTATCCTTTACATGTGGGGATGGTAATTTGACCTGCCTCCGTTGTTACCTGCCTCACCCGGTCCCCTTTTTGACAGTTTTGAAGGACTGTTTTGCTTATTTGGGTGGGAATAGTTTGATGCAATAAAAACCTGTGTGGGTTTGGTGCAGGGGCAGGGGAGGTAGCCCAGCACCGCTCTGCCCGTTTAGATAGACAAATTACTTAAGTACCCTTATTTCATTATTAAGTACCTATATAACAATATTAAAATAACAAATAAATTTTATTAAAAAGAAAGTTGCAATGGTAAAGAATTGAAGATGAGGAGAAAAAAAAAAGAGTAAATCAATTTCAACAATAATTAAATTACGGACTTAAACAGGGCGGGGCGGGTACCCGCAGAATAAAAATGTAAAACGGTTACGGGGATGGGGTGAAAAGTTCCCCTATTTTTATGATTTTGGGTAAGAACGGAGGCGAAATTTTTAAACGATTACGGGGTAGAGGAGGGTACACCCGCCCAAACCCATCCCCGTTACCATCCCTATTTACATCTAAAGCCACTTTTTCAAAAATGACCAACACAATCAAAACAAAAGGTTTATCAAATGTATAACAAGAAAACCTCACATTAAAGAAACTTTCTATTTTTAGCAAATAATTATCCTTATCCTTTATTCCTTTCGTCCCAAAATAAGTGTTCTACTTTCTTTTTTTAGTTGTCCCAAAATAAGTGTCATACTTCAAAATTTAATACACTATTTTTTGAATATTCCTAATATACCCTTGAAATTATAAAAATAATTAAAACTTCTAAAAAAGTTATTGTGGACCTTACAATTCAAATTTGAAAGTTCACTTTTGTACCATATTCATAAATTGTTACAAGGGCATATTAAGAAATTTATTTTATACTATTATAAAAAAAATCATAAAAAACAACTCTCTTTAAAGAGTTATATTTTCCAAGAGCGACACTCTTTGCGGAGGGAGGAAATTAGTTAAATCTAAACCCGATGTTAATTATCGGGATGGCAAAGTAAACTTTTTCCTTTTGTCTTTTAGTTAAATCTAAACCCGATGTTAATTATCGGGATGGCAAAGTATACTTTTTCCTTTTGTCTTTTAGTTAAATCTAAAGCCACTATGTTTATTATCAGGATAGCAAAGTATATCCGCAGTGACACAAATGGGATTTTGAATGGACCACGGGTGGACTTGTATGAATTCAAGGGTCCAGTGCTTCGTGGCTAGCACTATTGTAAACAGAAGGAATGGACATTATGATGTATCAATGACCGTGTAGCACGCATCATGTCTAGTTCAATGATGGAATAGTGAAATAAATTCATGTTATGTTTAGGAATATTGAATTGGAATATTGGATTTGAAATTGGAAGAAATTTGGTTCAACATTTATACTAAATTTTCTTCAATCTCAAATTCAAAGCGCCAATTAGGTGTCGCTAAACATAGCATCAATGAATCATATATCCCATCTTACTTTGGGAACACTAAATCAACTATTTGGATTTGAAATTAAAAAAAAATTAGTTAAAAATTTTGAACTAGATTTGTTTCAATTCCAATCTCAAATTATCGATTCAATGTTCAGATCGATAATATATACATGAACTTCAATTTTTCTAGATAAGGTAGGTTGTTTGGATAGGATAATACTAGTTGTTCCAATTCACCTCAGTAAGCCATTTGAGTTATAATTATTTTAACAAAGACCGTAGAATTACCATGACAGCTCTTCTATATAAGGGTCAATGGCAAGGTCATTTCTTCAACAAGTTATAACTCCTTTTTTATTTATTGTGTTAACGACATAATTTGCTAAGTTTGTGAGTGTTTTTCTCGAAAACAATTGCTATGGCTCTTGTTGGTAAGTTAGAGGCTGAAGTAGAGATCGATAAGTCTAACGTTGAGGAGATGTTCCATATCTTTGGAGCTAAATCACACTCTATTTCAAACGCCTGTGCTGAAAGAATACCAAAAGTGGAGATGCATGAAGGTGATTGGGGGATTGAAGGCTCCATCAGACGCTGGACTTACGTTGTAGGTATGAGTAATTCTACACTAGCCAGACATCAGACTGTGAGTGGGAATTGGATTTACACCACTTCACACCCAATTCCTACGTACACTCGGTTGTCAGGTGTCGTCAAAATTATCTTTTTCATGCAAGTATAAATGACAACTAACCCTAACCCTTTAATTAGTACTTGTCCACTAGTCACTTAGGTCTCTTGGATGGTTTTCAAATTCTGGAGATGTGAAATCACTAATAAATCACATGTACTAGTTCACTTGAATTTTTGTCTTGAGTCAACCCTAGATGCCGATCGACATGTACTAATTGTATAATTAACATTGAACTACTAAAACACAATTTATAATTTTCGCCTTACTTTGTCTTCACCATTGTTGGTTTGATTTTCTTTTTGTGGCAATGTAGATGGGAAGGAGGAATACATGAAGGAGATACTGACAATAGATGAAGCAAACAAAACACTGTCTGTGAAGGCATTGGAAGGACATGTGATGGATCTGTACAAGAGCTTTGTGGGCAGCTTGCATGTTGCTGAGAAGGGCGAGACAGCGATTGCGAAATTTACTATAGATTATGAGAAACTAAACGAAGATGTTCCAGTTCCACAGAAATATATAGACTTCCTAGTTGATGTGGCTAAAGATGTTAATGCTCACTTCCTCAAATCCTAAAACAGAGGTGTCTAATTAATTACTACGTACCTGGGTAATGGTTGTGAAGTGGTTCGTTTATTATATGTAAGAGCCGTTGTGATGCTAGGTGTGTGTAATGGTTATGAAGTATTTCGTGTTTGCAATAAGAGTGGTTGTGATATTGTGCGTGTAATATTTATGATGTATGTATTTCTTTTATAATTAATAAGAGCTTAACAAAGCTTCTAGTGTGGCTACATTATTCAAATTTGTTTTCAGACCTTGCCTATGCTTGGTCTCTTCACATGGCTGCTTGCACAAACCGTGTGTGTGTGTATATATATATATATATAGTGACAAACCCAGGAAATTTTGTCAGGGGGCGGCTTCTTAATTTATGGATACAAAATTATATGATGGGTTCACTTTTGTAATTTTAATAGGGTTTTTTTTTTCATAAATTTTTAAAAATTTAAAGTATAAAATGAAAAAAAAAAAAAATCAGTGGGACAAATTATAATTCTAGTAGAGGCATCTTCATAAATTATCAAAATTTGAAGTATAAAATGCTAAAAAAAAGAATTTAGTGGGGGAGAATTGTAATTTTAAGGGGGGCATTGTGATACCCCCGGATTTCAGGATACGGGTTAGCCAGGCCCACGCCCGAACACCCAAGGATATAAAAAACAAATGGCAATAATCGAACACAGAATACAAATATGATAAATAGAAATAAATAAAAATGTTGAAAGAAAACTAAAATAACAATCCAATAACTCCTCAGAATAAATTCTTATTAATAATAAAAACATTCTGATACAATTAATCCTCCATGAATACAACTCGGGAATCCATCTAGTGCACGCTTATTAAAAACCCAACTGAAGTCAAACTAAACTAAACAAGAAAATCCAAAACTAAATATAAATAGCAGTCCTATGCAGTCGGAAGAATGAGTGACCGTCTCTGCTCAGCACGAACAAGCTCTAAAATTGGAACCGTCCGATACCTGAAAAATAATAGTGGGTCAGGCTCACGAACAATTTCTATTCTAACTACAATCCAAACAAAGACCCGATACGCAGATACATCCTAGATATCTCAACAATATCTATCTAGTCCATACATATATATATATATATATCCACACTAAAGGACTTTCACTGGACTACAATGGGGTTTCAACCTGAATAGAAAGCAACATGTAAAATCGCACCCAAAGGTGGGCATGAGTACCTAGACCTAACAAGGTATACCTCAACCATCATAACCAGCTATGCATCCCAATGCATATACGCTCCCTAACCAACGATCCTGAGACTCAAGTTCATATTGTGGTACCATAAATATATATAAAAATTCCATCCAAAACCAATGAAGTGCCGTTCAACTATTTGTTGCTAAGACACGACATTTAATTAGGATTTAAGTGTTATAATTAAATCCCTTTCCTAAATCTAGAATAGGTAGGAGTTAGTGTTTTGATCTAATCCAAACCTAATATGCCACCGTCCCATACCGGTGCATATAATCTACAAAATCCATATAATTGATAGAACAGGTAAAACAGTTCAACAATTAAAATGCAGAAGAGGTAGGAATTAGCGTTTTGAGCTAAACCATCCCTAGTATGCCACCGTCCCATACCGGTGCATACAATCTATAACATCCATGTAATTATAGAACATAACATAGTAGTTCAGCAATTGAAATCCACAACAGTAGTCCATGTAATTGATAGAACAAAGTTTAATAGTTCAGCAATTAGAATCCAAGCCATTTATCCACGTAATTGCAGAACAGAGTTTAATATCTCAGCAATTACAATCCAAAGTAAGCATAAATCAAGTCTGATAATTAAATGATCCTATTATGCATTCAAAACAGGGTTTATAAATCCTACCACAGTCCGTTAAATTGCTAGACACAATTTAAGCAATTAAATTATCTCTATCCATTAACAGTATACAAGATTATTTAAACTTCCCTACTGTTAAATCCATTAGCATAAAGACATTAATTATGAAAATGTGGGTTCTAATACAGCGTAATATAATATTTAGAGTCCTTACTAATTACCCAAAACAGTCTAGAAAAAATTAAACAATTTAATCCTTTCTATCCATTAACAGCATGCAAGAATGTTTAAACTTCCCTACTGTTAAATCCGTTAGCATAAAGACTTTAATTATGCAATGAGGGTTCTAATACAGTATAATATAATGTCCAGAGTCCCTACAAATCACCCAAAACAGTCCAGGAACATAAAAAACCCAAAATAGACCTTCGAACCACGTTCTGTAGCAAGTTTGGCATGAGAACATGCTCTCATAAATTGAGAGCCTGCTCTCAACCATTGGGAGCTGGCTCCCAGACCTTGGGAGTAGGCTCTGTGGTCTAGGGAGATGGCTCCCTCAATCCATGGAACCGGCTCTCTCTCTCACAGAGAGCTGCTTCTTCCGTTTTCTCTTCTGGTTCATCTTATTCACTTCCGACGCTGTTACAAAAGGTTCTGTGATAACTAATACAATTCCTAAGGTTCAATTCATGTCCCAAAATTCCTCATAAGGCATCCAAACTCCAGTATGCATCATCAACAGAAACTTAGAACACATATGAAACAATAGTTGATACGAAGAAACGGATTAATTTTTCAGCACATTGACAATTTAATCTTGATTTAAAAACATACAAGACTGATTTACAAACACAAGAGATTTATTTAATGTCTGATTAAAACTCTAGAGATCATCTAGGCATGCACAGAACACAAGTCAAGGGGAGAGAGACAGAATATAACTTGCCTGAGATTTTGAATCAAAACCTTGTCGCCGTCTTCCTAAGTTTTCCAACGACGTCCGTTCACTGTCAACCTCTTTCTGCTCACCCTTCCCTCCTCCTAGGTTCGTCCTTTAATCCACAGCCAAAAACCCTAACTGAACTCTCTCTGTTTTTCTCACAATTCCCTCTCTATTTCTCTCTATATCTCTGTATGTGAACAGGGTTCTAAAAACCCTTTGCAAACTTATAACATTATATATATAGGCAAATATAAAACCTAAGTCTACTTGTAATTAGAGATGTAATTAGAGACAGAAACCCAACTAAACACTAGTCAGCCAATGCGATCCATAAAAGACTAAAACTCTAATTTCACATTATAATTAATAACTCTAATTTAATCCAATTAATTCATTTAAATAAACTAATAAACCATTTAAACAATTAAAACTAATTTAATCCAATTAAAGAAAATAAAAATACAATTAAATTAACAATGAAACAAACAATTCAATTAAAACAAACAATCAATTAATTAAAATAACCAGGCAACCAAACACATAAACAAATAAAAATGCAATAAAATAAAACTTAAAATGCCGAGACTATCTTTTTAAAATTAGGGGGTATTACATTCTTTCCCAATAACAAAAGGGATTCCATCCTCGAAATTCACGAAATTCTGAATTATTTATTTTTAAAATTCATTTTTGTTCTCGCATGGACTCAGCCTCTGTGTATAGGCTCCATCGAATTCCAACGCATCCAACAATAAATTAACAAGGTTCCTATTTTTTAAAAAACCCCACCACTGAACTACTCCTAGGTTGTATTTAACAATGACTCAATCGTACTTAATATGGAGTTAAGGTAACAATCCCTATTCCTCCAAGTTCCATAGGATACTCGTATAAAATTCCTATACATCCAGTGCTAACAAATTTGGTAACGGTAATTTATATGCAATACCAAAAGCAAGTAACAAATTTAATGTAGCAATTTTTAATTATGCTTTGGTAACACAACCTTGTCAGTACGAATATATTTATTCATATCTTGGCAACTCAACCATGCATCCTTAAGTATATTTATTTATACTTTTGGGCAAATCAACTATGCCTCCTGTATTTTTAGTTATACTTTGGCAAATCAACCATGCCTATTATTCAACCATATACCGATTTTAAACTTAAGGATGAACTAAATTACACAGTCATAGCATGCATATCATACGCATAACATTAATTTAAAACCAACCTATCCAGATATACCAATTAAACATGTCTTTACATCAGCCGGTTCACTTGACTAGACATTCGATGTCTTGATGTACCTTAAAATCGTTTGAGTGCATTGAGAAGAAGTGACGAAATTTACATCGCATTCACTCCAACAACATTAACAAAAACTACTAATCCTCCGCCAGTACCTTAAGCTTTATTTGAGTAAGGTAATACCTCTATTAAGATCAACCCCAATATTTGAAGTTGATTTCCTTAATTTCCTTAGTAACAACTAGTTTCATTATTATACGAACTAAAACTCCAACTGCGAACTCAACAACGAATCGAAAGATATGAATCTCCTATCGGTTGTTGAGAGCGTCCACTTCCATATTCCCTTCCACCAGACAGAACTTAATGTAATGTGTGAATCACCACTTTGATGAATCTAAGTCATCTCGTAATCCACTCTATTCATATGAACTGATGTCCTACCAGTTCGAAATAAACCAGAATTGAGCTGATTTAATTTAGAAACTAACCAATATCCCAACCAAAATCCTGACCCTTTTGTAAAGTCAGCAATCCTTCAACTAAATCCGTGAAAATGCTTTATCATTTCCACTTTAGTATAGAAAATGTCTACAAGGATCTAGTGATCTCTGCTGATTCATCTTGATTATTTAGCAAATATTAGAATTGGAGACAAAATCACTTTGTCTCTCCTCCTGCCTATCCTCCAAAAATTTGCTCCATATCGTGAGTGCATAATATTTCCACCTGGATGAAGAAAGAATTAAGTGCTATGAACCTCAGTCCTTGCATCCTCCTTCCAATTTGTCTACCGAAAGTATTATTAGTCTGGTACCATCAGCTTCCGTTTGCACCCATTGTTTAATTTGGAGCATCGTCAAAAGCTAACTCTACAACTTAAGTCCATGCACCACTGATCCGTGGTAGACTTACCGATATAGAAAGTCAACCGATAATTCCATTCATCGAAAGTCAACTAGCTATGACTTTTGCACACACACCATGCACCTCTTCCTTGTATAGGTGTTCGATCTCACCTTCCTGTCCTTGGCACACCCTACTTCCTTAAGATAAGTAAGTGTCAATTTGACTCCTTGTCTCGCTTCAAATGAATATGGAACTTTTCCATCCTCCATATGGTCATCAATTCCTTAGCAACAGCTAATTGTCGCGAAATATGACCTATATAAATTTTTTTTCTTCATATTTTACAGTGTAGAGACTTTGGTTC